CACCACTGGGGGCCAACACGATATTGAACGTCAATCCCTTGGGGTCCTTGTATGTCTTCATGAACACATGCCCACACTGAACTATATCAGTCTGCTTCTTCAAGTAGATTGCCGAAGAGAGTGGGACAAGCGCCGAAGAGAGTGGGACAAGCACCAGCTCTTCAGCCTCAAACGAACGCGTTACGGTGAGAGCACGAAGCTTAACACACGTAATCACGCCACTCAAGTACTTGAGACAGTTGCCGTTCTGGCTGTATACATCATCCAAGGCCAGCCTGATTTTGGCCTCCTCGATACCCCACTGGTAATCGACAGGCTTGAGGGGGCCATGATCAGCGAACTTGTCGATCGTTTCCTCTATGGGGGAGCAGCGGGAAAAAAAGATGAGACATGACGACGCAGAGCCAAATGAGATGAGGGAACGACGAACGAGAATTCAAAGGTGTGGGGGTGTATATGCATTCCACATGCATTGCGACGAGGTCGCAAGACTGTCCTTCATAATCGTGGACACGACGAACTTGCCACGTAAGAAGTCGTCGATGGGGTGGCATGTCGCACTGCCCGTGGCCTGAAGCTTCAACTTCACGCCAGTCGCAGCGTCGATGGAGATCAGCTCGTAAATGTTCTCACCCAAGGTGTCGCTCGCCAAGGCGACTTTGGCGCCAACCTCAAACCCCTTGTCACTGAGCTTGTCCACTTGGTTCGACCACTTGCCCGAAGCGGTGTACTCTTTCACATCTGAGCTACGCGCCTGCCCTGTCACGGCTTTGGATGCGCCCTCGCGACCGATCTGCTTCCATGGGCTAGCAACTGCTTTGCCAACGTGCGTTGCCAACGCAGTGGTGAAGCTGACCCCGATGTCATTCAGCGTCTTGCAAGTGCCTAAGCGCTCATCGGGCTTGTTGAACACGAAATGAACTACGCGAACGTCAGTCAATCCCACGATGGTGCCGTAGGCGACCGTGTCTGCCGTGATGCCCTCACCGCATGCGATCTGTCGCACTTTCTGAAGAAATTCATCGGCCACCATTACAATCGTAGACTTCTTATCGCTCGACAAGGCGGTCACGTCGCCTGGCTTCAAAAGCATCTGATGGCCATCCCTCGCGAACTTACCCGTCGCACATGTCATCGCCTTCATGCATGCGAGCTTGAATGTCGCAGCGGCCCCCTCATGCTTGATCTGCACCTCGGCGAGAGACTTCGCCATTGAACCCGTGACCACGCACTGGGAGGTCAGCTGCCGCGAGAAGTCGCGAAGCTCGTTCAGAAAGATCGGGTTGCCGAGGCCGCCAGACAACTCCTTCACATATTTTACTAAGCCATCGATCTCCCCAGGAAAGAGAGAGCCTGCGCGAGTCGCCTCGCGGATCACACTATCCCAATCGATCATGGTGCCACCCGTGCGGTGTCGGTTGGCAATTGCTGCGATCTTGTACATGAGACTCATGCGAGATTCGCATCTGGCAATTTGTTGGCCTGCATTGCCAGCCTCCTGAGCAAGATTACTAGTCCACGGGAACTCCTTCACGAACTCGTACCGAAAGACCTTCCACTCAATTCCTTCGTCACACGCCTTAGCGTAGTCTGGTTGGTTGAACCTCCCGTAGCCTCGTCAGTGACAATTTCCCTTGGTGCGAGATTCTGTCGAAACGCTCTGGCATGACCGTGGGTACTGGAACCCCTGCGTTGATGCAACGCAAACCCATGGATGTGTGGCCGCACGTATAGGATGCGAACTTTGCATCGCAATCATACTGCGGCAGCTGGCCCGCTGAGTCCTCCATTATTTTGAAATTGAAGTTCTTGATTGCATTGTACTCAGGCGTGCCCACTGGTGGAAGTTCCATGCAAGCTGGGTTCTGGAGGGCTGAGTTCTTGAATCCATTTTTGAAGATCTTGGAAATCAAATCCATAACCTCGCTCGGAATGATTCCATCTCCGTAACGATTCTCTGTGCACACCATCATATACTTCGAGTGTATTTTTTCTACCCTCAGGCAGCCTATGCCTCTTGCAATGCTGCATACGTCTCCAAGTAATGAGACCACCGCTGCATCAGGATGCAAGTACATGTCCTTGATGGCCATCATCTTGGGGCGGACCTCCGCGATCTGCTGTTCACGGGAGGCGTTCATCACGCCGCGTGCAGGAGGACGCCACAAGCGCCAGCAGCAATCCTCGCCCAAACGGCTGGAGCCCAAACTCTAGTGACATTCAAAAACATGTGCAACAGAGGGTTGCGAATTCGAAATGATATGTTGCATTTGCAATGCACAACATTCTTGTAACGCTCGATACAATATTCTGAATGCGTTCGCACGCAAGTCTGGATCATGATTTCCGATATGCGTGATCCCGAAAATCCAAACACATGCATGCGTTTCTGGAGGCAACATCCAAGGAAAACCCGATGCAGCAGCTCTGTTTTCACGTAAGCATGTAAAAGTTAGCGAAGTTAGCAACTTCGCTAACTCAAGCTATCTACCTCCAAATGCACCGCCCGAGTTAGCCGACTTAGTAACATTACTAATGGTTATAACTTACTTGCAACCTAGTTGCAACTTACTTATAACCTACTTACATGTGCTGCTAACAATTAGTAAGGCCGAGGGCCTTCAGGTGTCTTTGGGTGCCCGGGTGTCGATGCGGCCCCCTGAATTATGCCCCCCTATCGCTGCCCCCGAAAATCTGTTCTGAGAACATGCCGCGCAAACTACAATGGGCCCTTAGATCATTCTGGGTGCGCCCAATGGCAAGCCAAGACGCCTCGCCACTGCTCGAAGCCCTTCGGAGAAACCCTGCACCTGCCGACCTGAACCCTGAGCCCAAAGTGGCTGGGCCGTCGCCGTGGTCGTGGCCATCGTCGTCGTTTGCCGATCGGCGGCGGCAACTGGTGTCGTCGTCGTCGATCGTCGTCGTCGTCGACCGTCGCCGTCGACGACCGTCGTCGTCATCGTCAATCACCGTCGCCGACCACCGTCGCCGATCGTCGATCGCCCTGGGGCCCTCCCCCCCGCTCCTCCTCCCCTCGTCCTCCTCCTCCCCGCCTCCTCATCCTTCTCCTCTTCCTCTTCCGTCTCCTCCTCCTCCTTCGCCATCTCCGTCTCCTCCGCGCGGAAGAAGTGGATTAACATGTCGCGCCAATGAGCAACTATGGCCCTCCGACCTTTTCCAGTGTACTCTGAGGGCCCTGTTGGGGCCGTCCTGGGGCGCTCGAAGGGGCCCTGGGAGCCCGGAAGTAATGTTCCGGAGAGGCTTCCGGGAACATGATTTCGAACGGGGCCCTCTTGGGCCTCCCTGAGGCCGTCTTGGGGGCCTCCTGGGCCGGCTTCGGGGTCTCTTGGGCCGTCTTGGGGGGGTCCGTGAGCCCCATAGGCCGACCCTTTTGGGCCGTCTGGGGCCCTCTTGGGTCTCTCTTGGGCTGTGTTGGGGCTCCGCGGGGGCGTCTGGGGCACTGTGAAGACGAAGCCAGCGAGTATGCTGAAAATGTACGTTTTAGAAAAGAAATGGGCCGATGTGTGCCTCTTGAAGGCTCTCTTGGGGCCCTCTTCGGCCATCTTCAAGCCATCTCGGGTCCTCCTGGGCCTCGCTGAGGCTGTCCTGGAGCTCAGTGGCCCTGGGAGCCAGGAAGTCATGCTCCCGGAGAGGCTTCCAGGAACATGATTTCAAACGGAGCCCTCTTGGGCCTCCCTGAGGCCGTCTTGGGGGCCTCCTGGGCCGGCTTCGGGGCCTCTTGGGCCGTCTTGGGGGGGTCCGTGAGCCCCACAGGCCGACCCTCTGGGGCCGTCTGGGGCCCTCTTGAATCTCTCTTGGGCTGTGTTGAGGCTCCGCGGGGGCGTCTGGGGCACTGTGAAGACGAAGCCAGCGAGTATGCCGAAATGCACGTTTTACAAAAAGGAAATGCGCCGATGTGTGCCTCTTGAAGGCTCTCTTGGGGCCCTCTTCGGCCATCTTCAAGCCATCTCGGGCCCTCTGGGGCCTCGCTGAGGCTGTCCTGGGGCTCAGTGGGGGGCCCTGGGAGCCAGGAAGTCATGTTCCCGGAGAGGCTTCTGGGAACATGATTTCAAACGAGGCCCTCTTGGGCCTCCCTGAGGCCGTCTTGGGGGCCTCCTGGGCCGGCTTCGCGGCCTCTTGGGCCGTCTTGGGGGGGTCCGTGAGCCCCACAGGCCGACCCTTTTGGGCCGTCTGGGGCCCTCTTGGGTCTCTCTTGGGCTGTGTTGGGGCGCCGCGGGGGCGTCTGGGGCACCGTGAAGACGAAGCCAGCGAGTATGCTGAAAATGCACGTTTTACAAAAGAAATGGCCGATTAAAACGATTTGTGGCCATTGAATCTCTGTTCGGAAGGCTGTGGGAGCCATCTTGGAGCGTCTGGAGGGCCTGGTGGGCTGTCTTGGGAGCCTCACGGAAGCTTCTTGAGACTGCGGGCTCGAATTTTCGGCGAGAGGGCCACGATCCTCGTGAGGGGTGCCCCAAAATAGCCCAGTGGGGCCGCCATGGCGACCAGAGGCAGCAGCCGCCCCCCCGGCCTACTCCGATGTAGTATATATATATATATATATATATATATATATATGTGTGTGTGTATGTATGTGTGTATGTGTGTATGTATATAAATACATACACACATGCATACATACATACATACATACATACATACATACATACATACATACAAACATACATATATACAGACATACATGCATGCATGCATGCATGCATACATACATACATACATACCTTACCTTACCTTACCTTACCCTACCTTACCTTACATTACCTTACCTTGCCTCACATTGCATCACATCACATGACATTACATTACATTAAGACACATTACAATACATTACATTACGTTACATTGCACTACAACAAATTACATTACATTGCACTACATTACATTACATTACATTACATTACCTTACCTTACCTTACCTTGCCTTACATTAAATTACATTACATACATACATATATACATACATACGTAAATGCATGCATTCATTCATACATGCATGCATACGTGCGTGCATGCATGTATGCATACATGCAGGTATGCATGCGCACATTCATACATACATACACGTGCATACGTATACACATACACCCCTGTAAACGTAGATGAACCTGCGCGCAACATGGGAGAAAGAGGAGGAAGGGGACGACAGCGAGGCAGCACAAGAGATCACGCACTCCGTGGCAGAAGGCGGCACGACCGGTGGCGGTGTACCTTTGCCTTCCGCGGATGTCCTCCAGCTTGGGTACGTGGTCCTTCAGGCCGTCCACAAACGCGGCGGCACGGTCCGCCTCGGACTTCCCGCAGACCCGCGCCTCCGCCTGCGCGTGGCCGTGCTGGATCTCCAGGAGCTGCCCGTTCAGCCTCTCCTGGTCGATCTCGCCCTGCATCCGGTAAAGCTTCACCTCTCGGCTACACGCAAGAGTGACCCTGGGTAAGAGTGACCTTTGGTGCGCAGCTTTCTGGGGGCCGCGGGGACCAAACGCAAGCGCGCAAGACGCTGCTATCGCATCGGGTTCGGCGATCGGGGGACCCCGATGAGCCCGCACCAAAGGTCACTCCGGCGAAGGGTCACTCCTACGTGTAATCGAACCTCGTTCTCGCTCTCCGCCTGCGAGAGGCGGTTCATCCGGTTCGTCGTCTCCTGGATGATCTGCTGCAGCACCTCGGAGGTGCTCGCGTCGGCGCAGCGGTAGGCGGTGACCTCCAGGGAGTGCACCTTGACGCCCCTCGTGGCGTAGAACTCGCTGTCCTGCGGTGTCGGTTGTAACTTGGCCCCCGCCATGCGTCAGCAGACTCGCGCGGAGGATTGGGAGGAGGACAAGAAGGGGTGCACCATGCTAATTAGGCGTCCCGCGCTGGACGTCCGTGGCCCCGCGAAGGGGCATGGGCCCACGTGTGGTCGCGTGGTGGGCTGGAGGCAGGACCACGGAGGAAGGTTTGTGAGTACGGTCGCATCCTCCTGGTGAACTTTGTTTGAGATGCTCTGGAGATCGTCCATGAACTCCTTCAGCGTCACCTTTGCGACGTGCTTGATGAACTGTGAGCGCGCGTGGTTGCAGAGGTCTCCGCTGGTGTCACCGGTGGCGCGCACCATTCGGGGCAGGTCGGTCACCTCCCAGAAGAATGTGCCCTCCAGGATCAGCTCCACGTTGTCTTTGGTGCGGCAGTTGAACTCGAAGGACATGTACTGCGCGCGGGTGTCGAAGCGCTCGATGTACAGGTCGCGGCATTCGCGCCGGCGGCCCCTGCTCCAGCAGAGCTTCACCACCTCCGCGTAGGGCGGCAAGAAAAAACACCTCGGCTGGTCTGGTGCGCGCTTTTCGTCGCTGCCGTAATGGTAGTGGAAGACACCGTCCTTGTCCTTGACGATAATCGCCTCGTGGTCGGCGAGCTTCACGAGCTCCTGCTGGCACGCACATACGGAAAAATGCGAACGATGCCCAACAGACAACGCTGCCCAGAACCGACAGCGGTCGCTGTTGAACAGGCGCTCCCTGTTGAAAACGGACGACGTCCGCGGCGGCACCGACAGCGAGGCAAGCTCGAAAGGGGCGTGAAATGCTGCTGGCCGTCGTCCCCATCCTTCCGTGGCGCTGAACAACGAACGAGGGGGAGCTGCCCTGGCCACGGCAAAACCTTAGCCTCGAAGAGGTCCTAAGAACCTAGATCTGAACAACGGTCCGAAAAACTAGAGCCACTCCTGAGCCCGAAGTGGTCCATACTTCAAGAGTCTTGACTGCGCCCGCTTCTTGCTTTCATTCAAACGTCCGCTGGCACGGTCGTGCGCATGCTAGACCAGAAAACAAGTGTGCTGTCACAACTCATGACGAACCAGGGCCCTGTACCAAATAGACCCTAGGGATCAACATCAGCATGCATCTACCTCGAACGGAACAGCCATTGAACCAGAGGAAGGGGAGCAAATTTGGGGTCGGTTCCATGGGAGCCTACATGGGCCACATGGGAGAGGACGCGCCCGTGGCACACTCCCCGAAAAGGGGCCCTTAGCTATCCCCCCCCTTGGGCATCCCCTGCTGGAAGACCCCGCCTCCTGTTTTCCCGCCCCTCGGAAGCCCCCCCCCCCCCCCTGCGCTCGGGAAGCTACCCCCCCCCTACCAAAGGGTGGTGGGGGCTTACCTGCCCCCCCCCTTGGACCTCCCCTGCCGGACCCCCCCCCCTCCTGTTTTGCCCGACCCTTGAAAGCTGCCCCCTCCGCCCCCCTCCCCTTTGAGAGGCGCCGAGAGCAAAAAGGGCGCCGAGAACCAGCGATGCGCACAGCAGGGCGAAGCACGAAATCCAAACTCACAAGACCAAAAAGAGCTCAAACACAACACCAAAAACTCACAGAGCTCACAACAAAGTCACAAAACCAGAGCGAAATTAAGCAGAACTCACAAAACTCACAAAAAGCACAAAACGCACAAAACACCAAAGCGAAAACAAAAAAGACAAATCCAGAAGAGCTCACAGAAAAGACCAGGAGAGGGGCGCCAACCCAAGAGGGGAGGAGCGCCGGCCGAGAGCCGCGCGGGCGCCGGGGACCAACACAAAAAAAGGCTGCCGAGAGCCGCGCGGGAGCGCGGCGAGAGGGGCGCCCGAAGCAGAGAGGGCGCCGGAGGAGGAGGAGGAGGAGGAGGCGGGAGGAGGAGGAGGCGGGAGGAGGAGGAGGCGGGAGGAGGAGGAGGAGGAGGAGGAGGAGGAGGAGGGAGGAGGAGGAGGCGGGAGGAGGAGGAGGAGGAGGAGGAGGAGGAGGGCGCCGAAGGGCCAACAGGTCGCCACACTCCGAGGGCGCGCAGGGAGAGCCAGAGGAGCGCAGAGGATGAGACTACTCCAGATCTCGTAGTAAAAGGGAGGGGGGTCTCACTTCGGGGGGGGTCACAAATGGGGGGGTCAGAAACGGTCCCTTTTCGTGCCCCTTTCGGGCCCCTCTGGAGTCCCAAGGGGCTCGTTTAGGCACCGTTTGGGTACCTTTTCGGACCACCCTCGCCACCCCCCTATTTATGACCCCTCCATTACGCAACGCCCAATCATTTCGGGGGGGGTCTCTTCCAGGCTATCTTGGAGGGCCTGGGGGGTCTGGGGTCGATGTTTTGGAGGGTTCTCCCACGGGGGAGGTCTGAAATGGCTTGTCTTGGAGGGTCCAGACCCCCTCCCTTGTATTACGAAATCTGGAATACCTACCAAACCACCCCAACCCAACCCAAAGACCCGAATTTCGGGTGGGTGGGGGTGAGGGTTCCATCCGTGTTTTTTCAATGTTCCCCGACCCCCCCCCCCCCACAGGAAATGGGGGGCAAATTGAGGCCTTCGGGTTGGGTTGGGGTGGTTTGGTGGGTGGTGGGAGGGCGAGAGGAGTGCCGAAGACAAGGGCGGCGCCGAGAGCCAGAGGGACGCCGGAGACCAAGCATGCGCCGAAAGCCAACAGGGTGCCGAAAACAGACGGGGCGCCGAGAACCCAAAGAGCGCCGAAAACACAAGGAGGCGCCGAACACCAGAAGAGGGCAGAACAAAAGAACGAGACGGCGTCGAAAACCGAATGGACGCCGAAACCAAAGGGGCGCCGAAAACACCAAGGGCGCCGAAAATAAATACAGCGCCGAAAACCAAAGAGGCGCCAACAACCATAAAACCACCGAAAACCAATGGGGCACCGAAAACCATAGGAGCGCCGACAACCAAACGGGCGCCGAAAACCACAAGGGCGCCGAAGAACAACAGGGCGCCGAACGCCGAAGGGCGACGAAAACCCAAAGGACGGCAAATACCAAAAGGGCGCAGAAAGCCAAAAGGACACAGAAAACCAAAGGAACATCGAAAACCAAAAAAGCGCCGAACACCACAACGTCGCCGAAAAAAACTCTGCCATTGTATGCTCTGCTGTGCTCACCTCTGTCATTGTATGATTTGAAATGATATGATATGCTCTGCTCGGTGACACCACGTCATGACATGTTACGTATGTTCTGCCAGGTTCGGTTATGTGATGCTATCTTATGTGAGTATGTTCAGGGTATGCTCAATTCGCTCTATCATATTCCACGACAAGACAGCCAATCACGTTAGATCTAAATCGTCGACGTAGGGGTGGCAGTAGTACCCCAAGTATGCTATATGTTGCTGGTTACGGTGTGCTCGATTCGTTATAGTATGCTGATTTGATACTGTTCTGCTACGCTGAGCTCTATTATGTTTGTTTTGTTCTCGACGGGCTGGCGTGACGCCGTGACGCCTGTGACGATACGTCGTCCGATCGTTCGTTGCTGCGCCGGTTTTCTGCTGTGGCCAGCCTGAATCGGCACGCACGTCGCGTTTGATTATTTAGTAATACCATGCATTATGTTGTGATACAATGCTTTGTCATGGTATGTAATGCTGCGAATATGCGTTATGTTAAGATGTGTTATGCCGTTGTGTGGCATGCTACGCTCTGTTATGATACGCTGTGTTATGTGTGTTCTGCCCTTGTGTGCTGTGTCATGGTATGCTCTGTATGCTACATGATGTCATTGCATGGGTTGTTATGGTGTGTCCTGTTATGTCCTGTTCTGGTATGCTATGGAATTGTATGCGCCAGTATGGTATGATGTGGTGATGTGCTAAGTTATGCGATGAAATAATGTGTTATGACACGCTATGCCATGGTATACTGTGTAGTGTTATGGAATGGTATGTGTTTCGATGCTGTGCTACGGTGTGGTATGTGCTGCCATGGCATGTTATGATATGATATGGTATGTCATCGTATGGTATGTTATGTCATTCAATGTCGCGATGCGAAATAAAGTATTGTGATGTGTTATGCCTGATCCGTTATGTCATAACTGATGGTGTTATGCTATGGTACTATCTGCTATGGTGTAACATAGTATGCCCCACCCTAGCATGTTATGATATGTTATCTGTGCTGCGATATATGTTATGTTAACAGTGCTACGATGATGTGCGATGCTATGCTATGCAATGTCATGCAAGGCTGTGGCGTGCTCGGTGTTGGTATGCTTGTTTTGTCATGTCAATGGACTGCCGTGTGCTGTGATGCTGTACTATGATATGCACTGCTCTGTCATGGTGTGTTATGTTACGATTTGGTATGGAATGATATGGTATGTTATGCTCGGATAAGTAATGTTAGGTGGTGTAGTGGTATGCTCTGTGCTGTCACAGCTTTACGTGCTGTGCTGTACTATGTTCTGCTATTGTATAATACAAGTCTGTCATGCTATGAGTTGTCGGCGCGGAGCGGGACACTCGGGAGACCTCGGGATCTGGCGGCCGCGGTATGCAGAGCGGCGCGAGGCGGGAATCTCGGGGTTACTGGGGAGACTGGGGATCTGGCGGCCGCGGAATGCACGATGGACGGGTTGGGAGTTCTGTTCTTCACTTCTAGCGACCCCAACCTGCCAGGTGGGTAAAGGGCACCGAAAACCAGACGGGCGCCCACAATAAGGACGCCGAAAGCAAAAAGGGCGCCGAAAACCAAAATAGAGCCGACAACCAAACGGGCGCCGAAAACCAGAGGAGCGCCGAAAACCAGAAGTGGGCCGAAGACCACCGAGGCACCCAACACAAGAGTGGCGCCGAAAACCAACAAATCGCCAAATGCCAAAGTGTGCGCAGAAAACCAAAGGGGCGCCGAAAACAAACAGAAGCCGAAAACCAACTGGGGCGCCGAAAATCAAAAGGGCGCCGAAAGTCACAAGGGCGCCGAGAGCAAAAGGGTGCCGAAAACCAAAGGGGCGCCGAAAAGCGAAGGTGCGCCGAAAACCAAAACTGCGCCGAAAAAAAAAACGAAAGAGAAACCGGAAAAACACAAGGGCGCCGAAGAGCGAACAGGCGCCGAAAACCAAGAGGGCGCCAAACACCAGCGATGTGCCCGAAACCCCCCCCAAAAAAAGGCGCCGAAAACCAACGGGGCGCCGAAAACTGCGAGGGCGCCAGAGACAAGCAGAAGCGCCCAACACACATAAAAAGAACGCCGGAAACCAAAGGGGCGCCAAAAAAACAAAGGGGCGCCAAAAAACCAGGAGAACGCTGAGAACAAAGGAGCGCCGAAAAGCAAAGGGGCGTCGAGACCCAAAGTGGCGCCGACAACCAAAAGGACGCCGAAAACCAAAGGGGCGCCAAAACCAAAGGGCGCCGAAAACCAAAAAGGCGACAAAAAACAAAGGGGCGCCAAAAAACCAAGAGAACGCTGAGAACATAGGAGCGCCGATATCCAAAGTGGCGCCGAAACCCAAAGTGGCGCCGACAACCAAAAGGACGCCGAAACTTAAGGAGACCCCAAAACCAATGGCCTCCGAAAACCAAAAAAGCGCCGCAAAGCGAAGGGACGCCGAACACCAGAACGGCGAGGCCGAAAGGCAACACCGAAAACCCATTAAAAAAGCCGCCGAAAACCAAAAG